GCCCACCATTCATTAACTCAACGCGATTTAGATAAGAACCCCCGCTGTGTCGAGAAGTAACAAGAGTTACAATCTTTCTGTTTCGAATATGATGCTCTGTCCAATTGAATTGCACTTCCTTATGGCTTGGTCCTTCGTCAGTGGCTCCATCCACTCTTATCGAATCAATTGGTCTATTGGTTACCCATGCTTCCATTTCAGGAGTGTTTATTAACATCTCTAAATCTGCTGCATGCTGTGCTGGGTTCTTGGGGAAAATATGATGCGGTTTAACAATACCAACACAAGCTTTTTTGGTTGTACTGGTTTCCATAAATAAATAGGATGTTGTCTGTATAACAGAAGGATATGAATTRACAAAATCTGTACGTGTTGTAAGAGATGGCTTGTTGCTTGTTGTAATTGTCTTAGAGTGTTTGTGATCATAGGTTGTATCTAGTCTAAAACCAGATTGGTCATCCCTGTTTAGAATCATTTGGTTGATTCCATCTTTTAACTGTAGAAAGTCTAGTCCCTTATACAAGGCACAGCTCCAGTGAGCATCTGCATTGAGTCTAACAGAAAATCCTTTACGGGCTCTTCGACAAGTYATGTTTGCAATGCCTTGATATCGTTTTGATGAGAGAAGTCTTTTATTTCGGACTGCACACAGCTGGACAATGGTCCCATATCCAAACTTGGTATTATACTTGGTTTCTAGGTGTTCCTTTATTCTTGTGTATGTCACTTTCTTTCCTCGTTTCCYTTCCCCATCAAAAGTTAAAAGTCCTGTTCTTCGCCAAGCGTCAGCTCCAACTTTTTTGCTTTCTACAAATTCTTCCATGTCTTTGCCAATTGATGGATATTTKTTCAAAACTCTACTAACCTTTGGTGGAACCTTTCTTTTTAAAACTGAATTATGAGCAATCTCCTTTGCAACCTTTCTTTTTGCTCGCCTTTTTATGCGAATTTTTTCAGCCTGAATTTTCTCAATGGTTTCTTTACTAAGMTGATGGGTAACTTGAACCCCACTCCACTCTTGGTCTTCATCATTATCTGAATCAGTTTCAATATCTTGGTTATTCAAAGTCAYTCTTCGTTGTGTTTCTAAAAAAGCTTGTCGGGATACTTCAACTTGATTTTCTTCAGCTTCTGTTAGGTCACTCGATGGTAAAAAGTCCGAAAAATCTAATAATACTTGATTAAYGACCTCTGAGGTATAGTTACGTAGGTACAGGCTTACCTCTTCATAAAATGCAAACCAGTTTAACTCATTTTCTCTTAGCCAACTAATCAAAACTTCATTGGCAMGTGCTGGGTTTGCAATCAATGTTCTTTTATTTATGTCATCAGGATCATATGAATGCTTTGAATGTTGTGGTCCATCAAGTACGCTTTCATCAACATCTTCATCTATAAMGTTATCATCAGATATTCTTTCAATATCAATAATCTCTGAGGGGTCATCTTCACTGCCTTCTGAATCTTCTTCGCCAAAGTTCTCTGGTATTCTTAATGACAAACAAAAYGCTCTGTTCTCAATCTTAGCTAAGTCTTGAATAGAAGATCTTATTACTTCTGCATCTTCAAGGGCTGTTGAAACTTTTGTTGCAAGCTGACTATAAGAAGCAATACCATATGTCCTTTCTGCTTCTTTTGCACTGAGATTCTGGGCTTGACAAACTGCATACTTCAGAAGTTTTCGGTCCTTATCAGTAGATGCTAGACTACAAAGTGCTGCAAGGTCTTGTTTGCTAAGTCCTGAAAGTGGCTTTACTGGATCAGTAAGGTTTTCAGTCCATTTTAGAAAGTATTTGTAATCTACTGATGGGTTGTATTCTGTGGTATACAGTATGGCACGGCCAGGAGTAGTTTCCCTTTTAAAGATCACCAATGGCATCTGCATAAGTCTCCTAACAGCTTTGTCAGTTTTATAAACAGAAACAGGAAAAAATTTACGATACACAACTGGAACTTCAACAATACCTTTTTCCAATATAAACTTGGCAGTATCAGTTAACATCCTACACTCCATGCAGCTAAGAGAATGATA